CGGAGCTGGTTCATATTGCGCTTCACTGGTTCTTCGCAATAGCTATTGGTGCTTCGCATGAGGTGTGGGGCAGTGATAAGGCATTGGCGTTGAACGTTAGGCGGCCCAGGGTTGTGTGGGCGCGCCAGGGAGCTATGTGGTGACATACGGGGTGTATGCTGGATGATGAGAACTCGCTGATGTGGCATATTAAGCCGAAGTGGAACCGCATTCTGCTGTTGGTTGTGCTGAGGCAAAGACCGGTCATCATAACTGCACATCAGGTTACCGGTGAGAAATCTGTGGTTGGGGGCAGCATTAATGAGGTACGTTGCTCTCTTCCTTGTCTACCCTGTTCATCTCTTCTTACCGTGAGGAAGTGAGTTATGTCTTGAGGGTCCTCTCAGTGTGAGGTGTCGCGAGCGCTCAACCTTGAGAGTCGACATTCTTCCTGGGCAGCAAGCTGGTGGGAGACGGGCGAAGCCTCTGAAGGGCCCTGGACGAAGCACTCGGGCCACGGTCACCATGCCAACCCGCTGGGACTAGTACACGCATGCTTCGCTGCAAGTCCTTGGTTCTGCTGCTTGCGCAATAGAGGTCGTGCCGGGCATGCCAGCCTTTTATGAGACGCTTACCAGACCGTCTATAAACATTTCTGGCTGGGGACTCGGATTGAATCTGGTTGTGATCATCGTCCTGACTGCGACGTTAAATAATTCCTGAGGAGATGGGGGCTCTCCTAAAATTCCTCCTGATCAGCCAGATCAACCGGGTGTAAGGCTCATTCCGTACGAGGGTAAATAAGAGTGGACTGGCTGGCTTGTTCGGCAATGACTTGCGGCACAGGGGTGGGCCGGACTGCACACCTTCAGACACGCTGCTCAACCAGATGCTCAGGAACGTTGACACAAAGTGACCAATGAAGAAGGATACAGGGGGAGGGGGGATTCCGGTAACTGTTCACAGTGGCAATCAAATATCAATCTGCCATCCAGTATACATCTCCAACAGGAGATGTTATTTTATTTTGATTATCTAGTTGTGACAGACTTTGCTAACAACCGACAGACAGCTACAGACAGAATAGATCTTTGCTGTAGTGTAATCTGTTCCAGGGCAATTCAAAAATAGAATTAATATATACTGTAGGACCTGACATTCGTTGTGACTATATCACCTACTTGTTTCTGTTCCCGCCGACCGATAATAGTTGTATATCACAGACGGGTGTGTGTCAAGCTAAGGTAGGATTCAGTGTGAGTTCTAGTTTAGATCACACACACCGTAGCTCATGAGTGAAGACAGCGGTGAGGAGGAGCAAAGGATAGTGCAACCCATTGGACCCACACGGAGAACCGCTCTTAGTCAACCTTTGACTTTCTTGGAGTTAGGTCCAGGAGAGGAGAGGAGACTACGAAGGGAAGCTAGGGAGAGAGCAACGGCGAGGAGGAATAGCGACGCAGCAGCCAGCTTAGCGGCTGCAATGGCTTCCGCCTCTTCAACATCGCAGTTCGTCTCCCAGTCTTCTTTATCAGGGGCTGGACAAGGTGGATCGGGAACAGTTAGTCAATCTGTTGGCTTGCAAGTCAGCCAACCGGCTCTACTCACACCAGAGGACATAGAAATCCAGAAAGTGGAAGAACTTCACAATGAGT